TTTAAAATTTATTTAACTTTTCATAAAAATTTTTTTATCTGGTAAAAATAATCCAGAAAAAATTATAGAAAAATAATAGATTATATTCTATAGTAGATTAGAAAAATAGATTATAGAAAAAAAAATTTGATTCCATCTAATACATAGCGTTATCAATTACTCTGGTAGTAGTTTTCGATTTGCTCTTAAATAAAATAAATATTTTATAAAAAAACTATTGGAAAATAGTTTATTTAAAAATATTTAAACAAAAGCTTTTAATTTGTTTGGATTTTCTGATTTACGCGCCTATTTTATTTACATAAAAAATCATCAAAACTATTTTAGTAAAATTTTTTTGAAGAAATATTTCGTTCAGCAAAAAATATTGCATTGTTTAGCACTTTTACGGTTTACCGCTCTCCTGATTTATTTGGTTCGATCACTCAAACACGCCGGAATGAAAACTTATTACCCACCACACACCACGCCGCATGCCATACCGCCCTGAGGTGCTCACATGTTAGGTGTCTTTTAATTTCTAGTTTATTTATTTTTTAATTATGTTGTAGTCATCATATTTACTGGAAATGTTATCCGAAATGTTCCATTATATAGCGCGATAAGTTCATTGATACCGTGACCCTGAAAGAACGGTTAGCTACCTGAGAATCGAATTAAAAATCGGAACATACTTTTATTATGTTTTGTTAAATAATTTTTCAACAGTGAAGTGTAAATTGCTTGTTCCAGAAAAAGTACAAGTATCTTGTGTAAAATATAGAGAAAATTAATATTATGACGTAAAATAGCTCAAACTGTGGCTTTGATTCTGTGTATGTTTATACTATAGTATAGATTACAGAAATATTTGTATCACTTCTAATAAAATAAATCGTTTTGAAAAACTAACATAATATTATAATATATTAGAAACACATATGTGTAACACAAAGGTGTTAATGATTTTATAAATAACTTCTTTTTTTTTTTAGTTTAGTTTATAGATCTTCCAACAATGGAAAAAACTTAGAATATTTCAAAAAAAAAAAAATTAGCGATTTTAGTTTCGTTTTTATTTCTATACACAATTTTCTGCTTACTTAACGTAGTTTTTTATCAAAATGTATCTGAAATTACCGGATTGCATACATAGGGTTATCCATCTTCAATTAACCAAAATAAAACACACTCATGTTTTAGATTATTATAAAATTTTTATATCAATGTGTTGTTTGGATCTTGTCCCAAGACGTAACACACATCATTTAAATCTTGTTCACGGAAAATCTTATTTACTTTTGAGGTAATTTTCTATCATTTTTGTCGCCACATAGCCGGCAGGTAATACATCTTTCATAACTAGCTGAATCGTCAAGTGTCAGACGATTGTTCGCAAAAACAACGATTGTTCCTTTGCCTAATCCCCCTAAAAAACACTATTGTTGACATGATTACATGATCGAAACACGTTAGTCAAATAGCATTCATCGAAAATATTCCAATTTACTGGCTCTTTTCGATACAATTGTCTATGATTTATTTACAAATAGATAATCTGGCAATAGAGATCGGCTATAGATCACTTAACGAATCATCAAAAGTTTTACAATTATAATCATACGTCCGTAAATTTCTAGCGCAACAAAGCAAATCAGGAAGTGTTACATATCATATATCTTTCATATTCGTATCTTCATCTTAGCGCAAAAAAAAAAGAAATTGTAATAAATCAATTGGAATTGGAAAGCAACGATGGAAGAAAAATATTGGAGCCAATTAAATTGAAAACTGGAATACTTTGGCGATATCTTAAGGCATGTATGAAAATCCGGTCTTGATAATTGATGGTAGAATTAAAGAACAGGGCCGCGTCCTTTTAGACAAGGGGTATCGTTCGTGGATTATAAATCTACGGCAGTGGTTCAATTAATGTGTAAGATAGTTTTTTCACGAAGCTGTCAACAAACAGAAATATTAATCATGTTAGCTAAAGTTCGAAGCAGATAAGGCACTCAGAAGAATGTTGTTTCTTTTTATTATCAGATAAGATGGCTGTGTAGAGAATGTAATATTATATGCAAACAAATTTACAGTGGAATCTTTAGCGATCAATGCTTTTAAATAATTTTGTTGAAGAATAAAAGCGCAGAAATGTATGTTATTAATAATACTTTCATAATGTATATATGCTTCTAAAATATAAAACTGAGTTTAAAATAGAATTAAGCCTTAACAATATTTTCCAACCACTTAAGCACTTAGTATTTAATTACAGATACAAGTATAATTTGTTTATACTGTAACGAAATAAGATATAACCAAATAATTGCTTAGGTTTCAGAAACCAAATTATTTATTCTGCTATAAATTATTGAACTTAATTACATCAGACGAGCAACCACCTTGTGGCCGGTGAGGTCTAATATAATGTGTCTGTCTGTGCCGCAGCGGCACGTAGAGTGTTAAGCGAACTTCTGTTGCAGTTTCATTGAATTTACTTGTGTTTATATTTATGTATCTACACATTTTGTTCGGCTCTGTGCAATTAGGTTTTGTTCTGTTCTGTTCTGTTGTGTTGTGTTGTGTACAATACAATGTAAACTTAATTAATTTTAATTGTTTTGCTTTGGACTGTAAAATTATTGTTTATATTGACTCTTGACATCTGCACATTGAAATTTGCACAAAACTTAGAATTACTCGTATTTGCTTGATTGTTTACTGAAGAAATCTTTCTATAATTAAATTTTGTAATTGACATCCTTAATTTGATAATTGCTCTCAAGTTAAATTGTTGTAAAATGTTGAGTGGTTCTATGTGCACTTCAGTTTATTTGCTTACATACTTTCACTATTATTTGTAGTTAATAATATAGAAGAGTCTAATTTAGAGAGATAGATAAGATACTATATGTTGAGGCTAGTTGAGTTGAGTCAGTGCACCTGAGCAATTTTACTCTCTAATAACTGCGAAGTTTCTACAAAACCCCTCTTTGCGCCTTGACTGGATTTTTGTTTATCACTTCATTAGACTAAGCAATAATTGACCTCAGATCTGGATATCTCCCCGAGGAGCCTGTAACCATTCTGAGATTTGATAACGCGGTGTTAGTAAGTCTGTCAGATTTCGCAAATAGTTTCAGGGCTCTATCCTTTATGTATTTTTTGATGGGATCAATCTTGAGGTCCCTGAGGATGTCATTCGTCCTAATGTACCAAGGAACTTTGAAAAGTCTTCTCAGAGAAGATAAGATACTGCTATCTTTAAATTGGATTATGAGTTATAAATAATTAAAATATTTATATGAATATCAAATTTGACAGGATTCAATTAATAAAACTGTATAGGTCTGTACACTATACAATAACGCCAACTAATTATTACAGGAAAAGTGATTAAGTTAGAGCTAACATCAGTGCACAATCTTTAACTCTGCATTATCAGAGAGATCTTTAAGCGTCGACGTATATAATATAACAGGGTTTTTGAAAAATAAGTATTTTTAGAGTAGCCAACGACAAACGTTTAAAATAAGAACCACTCCTATTATTCATCTGATTTGGCATTGTACAACTTTTATCTCTTCGAAAAATGCGTTTTCTGAAGTAACGAAAATGTTACTATGGGTGTGAAGACGTAGAAGTCACACAAAAAAATAATATCTACATGTCACAAAATATTAATGAGATGAAGAACACCCCATCCGTTGAGCTAAAACATGTCTACGTATATTTAGACAATGTAACTCCTTTTGAAAATTATGGCGTGGTCAGTAATGATCAATCGGATTCATACAAACAGAAAGACGATCGAAAAAATTGTAATTGGCCCCACAGGAAAAGCAATATAAAATAATTAAATACTTAGGAAAATGTCTTAAAATTTGGTATCATATGTTAAGAAGATTTTAGAATCAACATTGCCCAGAATTTTACTGTGATATGGAGTACAACAAAATTAAGATAACAAGATTCGTCATTAAATCAGTAATTGCGCGCTGTTCAAGAATAACAACAAAAATGTGGCCTCTTATTTAGGATTTGATAGAACTTAAAATACCTTTCGAACACTTTTCCAGGGATCGTATAATAGCTTTTGCAGATCATACGAATATTGACCCACACTTTCAATGGCACATATTGTACTACCGACATTTGATATATAGCATGGTAAGTTAACAATAACATCGATTCAAGAAAAATAAAGTAAATCTTTTCTAATATAGCCAAGCATATCACGAGACAGTATAATACGCCGATATGACGTTGCATTATAGTAGAATCAGCTATTATAGCTTTTTTAATTACGCTATACGGCAACATAGGTAGTAGTGATATGGGTATGTATACATATAATTATATATGTAACTATATTCATGGTGTGACTGAGAAAGCCAAAATAGTGTCAGTAGATCACTTTTTGGGTTTTTTGAACCATAATACATTTCACAATAGCTATATTGGCACTAAGGGTTTATTTTATAAAGTTTTATCAAGATTTTGTTTTGTTTAGATTTAAAAAAAAATATTAATCATTAGCTGATGTTCAGCTGATGTTGAACGTAATTTAACTGTGATACT